ATACAGTGATCAGTGCTAATAAAAAGTACTGACACTGTACTAATGACACTGGGCAGGAAAGCGTTAACATCTGGGGTAATCAAAGGGTCAAGTGTGTGCTGTTTTGCTGTGTGTGTGTTTTACTGTGTCAGCACATTCTTTGTATTGCTCTGCTATGCAGAGCAATACAAAGCAATGTGCAGGAGATGACAGGGGAGAGATCTGTATTGTTTACATACAGACCTCTCTCCCGCCAATGATACTTGGCGATCACCGATGAGATGAGATCCCTCTGATGCTTTGGAAGCTCTCTGCGGACCATGGCTTTTGCTGTAGGATGCGACTAAGAAAATGTCAGGAAAGACCTACTAGAACAGCTGAACTTTATTTGGGGTTAATTAGAGGTACTTTAAATGATGGCAGGTGTGTACTGACTGCTATTTAACATGATTTTGAGCCTGGGTTCACATATATGAGGTGCGGTATATCGCATGTGATTTGCACAGGAACCACACCTCATTTCTGTGCAAATCACATGGGGATTTATGTGCGGTGCGATTGTAGCCATATATTTTGTATGGCTCTAATTGTACCGCACCCGCACCAAAAAGGTGCAGGACCCTTTTTTGGGTCCGCACTAGAATCAGATTGCATGGGTATTATCACCTATGCTATCCGATTCTGCACATAGCACCGCGTTTTGCGGACCGCGCTTTTGGGGTGTTGTTAACATACACACCAGCAGCAGTTCGCATGAATGGGGTGCGATTCTGATGCGGTACAAAATTCGCACAGAAAATGCTGTGAATTCCACACTGCATCAGTGTGAACCAGAGCTCAATGTGATTGCTTATTTCTGAACACAGCTACATCCTCACTTATAAGAAGGTGTGCACACCACATTATTTTAGTTTTTTTTTTTTTTTTTTTACTTCCCTCCACCTAAAAGATTTCAGTTTATTGTACAGTTTATAGGTTACATTAAAGGTGGAAAAAGTTCTGAAATTATTTATCTTTGTCTCATTTTATTTTTTTTTACATCACAGAAACCTGACATTTTAACAGGGTTGTGCAGACTTTTTATACACACTGTATGCTCTGTATTTTTTATTTGCTACTTTTTCCCACAAGGTGGAGTTACCCTTTGAAGCAGATTTCCATTTAATATTAAAAGAGCTGATATTGCATAACCTTCAATTGCATTATTTTATATAAATACAGATAGCATCATTGCATAACACATTAATGTTTTTCAGAATATATATGTACACTTTTTAATAACACCTTAGAAGCCATACAATGACATATTGTAGAGCAACAATTTAATTAAAGGTGTGTTTGTCTTTGTATTTTAGAGCAGCAATTAACAGCCTAACACTGATATGTCTATCAGCATTAGGACATGGGCAGGGTGCAAATAATCAGACGACTAACCAATTAGTGAAATTTTGCCAATGGCAAAACCAGTAAAGTGGAAAATTTCATCTTCGCTCTCTGAGCTGCTTGGATGGAATTTGCTTGAAATAGTAAAAGTACGATAATACTCAGAGCTCCAACATCCAGACCACCAATCACCACATGTAGCAGGGACTCTCTGGGGATGGACACCATGGTGAGTATATAAGTTTTTTTAAATGTCGCAACACATTTGGTGCCTCTTCATTAGCTGATTGGAAAAAAATAAAAAAAAGGGTTCTTCTGTCAGGTAACACCTTGTCAGCAGGATGTAAAGTAAGGGTCCTTTCACAGGGGCGTTCCGTTTTTTTTTCTTCAGTTTAGTCACGTTTTTTCAAAGAAAAAACGGATGGGTTTACATCAGTTTAGATCCGTTTTCCATCAATTTTCATCCGTTTACATCCCTTTAGATCCGTTTCCATCAGTTTTCATCCATTTACATCTGTTTTTCATCTGTTTAGATCCATTTTCATCTGTTTACATCTGTTTTTGGTCCGTTTACATTCGTTTTTCATCCATTCCGGGGTTTTTTGCGGAAGAAAAATAGTGTTTTCATCCATTCAAAAAAAACGGATGTTAACGGATGCGGACATTAACGGATGTAACAAGATGTTCATCCGTTTACATCTGCAAATCCATAGAAATACGTGGGGGGTCCATTTTTCATCCGTAAATGGACACATGAAAAATGGACATACGGAACACCCGTGTGAAAGAGGCCTAAGGGTAAATCTTTCTACAGCTGGTTACATACTAGTAGAATTTTGTTCAAAAGTTTTCATTTTAAGATTGTTTGCTCAACATTCTAATTGGTAATGGGGTCAAAGTGATGTTTGTTTTCATAGCGATGAGAACATTTGTAGAAGCAGGATGGAAAAACACTGCATCCCATGGTCCAGTGTTGTCATCATCTGGAAACCCAGACTGAGAAATGGCAGGCAACCATCATTTGACTGCATGTAGATATGAAGTGGCGGCAAAGAGACAACAAAAAATTAAAACAAGTGTTTTATTTTAACTTACAATTGTATATTATACACAGTATTTTAGTGCACTCAATGTAATTCAGTTATCAGATAACTCTATTTTAAATGATAGGTTTGCTGAGAGGAATAGGAAGGCTGCTGATAAGTGCAAAGCAAAAGCTAACTTACTATGAAGAATATTACAGGGAAAAATGTTTTTAGTATTCTGATAGGCCCCAAGAAGTTGCCCGTTCCTGATAAGCCTTTGAGCTGCAGACCTTTAACCACTTGGCTTTCGGGGCAAATTTTACATTTTTCACAAAGATGTTAAAATTAGCATTCTTTGCTAGAGAATTGCTTAGAACCCCTAAACAACTATACACTCACCGGCCACTATATTAGGTACACCTTGCTAGTGCCAAGAAAATATCCACCACACCATTACACCACCAGTCTGAACCATTGATACAAGGCAGGATGGATTCATGCTGAGTACGTCAAATTCTGACCCTACCATCTGAATGCATTCAGGGCAATGTATGCCCATTCTCCTCTGAACTCTGACATCAACAAGACATTCACAACACAACTGCCGCTCACTGGATATTTTCTCTTTTTTCGGACAATTCACTATAAACTCTAGAGATGGTTGTGTGTGAAAATCCCAGCAGATCAGCAGTTTTTTAAATACTTAGACCAGCTCGTCTGGCACCAACAACTGTAAAAGTTACTTAAGTCCCCTTTCTTCCCCATTCTGATGCCATGCGATTTGCTGATTAGCAATTTGTGTTACCAAGCAATTGAATAGGCATACCTAATAAAGTGGCCTGTGAGTGTATATTTCCTGAAAGGGTCCACAGGAAGAATAGGTTGGAAGAGAGACAGGAATGAAGAGAGGATTTAAGGTAAGGAAACAGTGGGCAGGGGTAGGGTGGAAAGAAAACAAGTGGAGTTTCCTGCTGTGCAGTGTTATGTTTGTGGGAGTATAGGTCCCAAAGTTCATCTCAGGACATGGTGGATGCAAGTAGTGATAGTTAATTATGTGAGTACTTATATTCTATTCAAGAGAACCACCTTCATTTGAAGGTTTGTTTTTTTTAGGCCCCATTCACATTTGCGAATGGGGTCATTAGCACTGCGGGGGGGGGGGGGGAACCCCACCAGTGATTAGCTGATTCTCACTGATTCAAAAGCAATGGGAAGTTGAGAGTGTCTGCAACTATTTGTGGCTGCTTGCCTGTAATTGTTTATAGAGTGATTGCCTGTAAGCTATCTTCCCTGGATGCAGGTGATTACATGCAAGCTGCCAGTAATAGCTGAGCTTTCAATGGGGGTTCCACCAACAGCTAATCACCTGAAACCCCCGCTGGGTTTCCCACATGTAATTGCTAATGGCACCATTTGCAAGTGTGAATAGGGCCTTAATTGTAGAACAAAGATCTTTCATGAATTTGATGCTGTTACATTTTGCAAACCAAGGACAAGATCTTTAAACCTCAGGCTTTACTGTGGGCCAGTAAAACCAGTAACCCCTTGGTTTTCTTTGCCCCCAGGTGTCCCTTAGAACATCATTATGGGCTTAGTCAAGCACCATATTGTACTTCTGTTTGGTTAAGCACCAGTAACTGTTTAACAACTGAAGACTCCCAGGGGTTTATTTACTAAAGCTGGGAGAGTGCAAAATTAGGCTTACTTCTGCATAGAAATCTGCTTTTTTTTTTTTTTCGTTTGTATGTAGAAGTGAGCCTGATTTTGTACTCTCTAGCTTTGGTAAATAAACACCCCAGTGTCTTTTTGCAATATATAAAACCAAAACCAGGTGGGTGCTCATGTCATTTAGATTTATGGTGTTCAGAGATCATAGTTTAGAGTTCTAGTGCTTTTTGTGTGGCACTGTGGCTACACATATACAGTATTACAATGTACTATATGCAATACAATCCTTTAATTTTTTTTATTATACCTATTAGAAGTGGTTTAAATAGTTTTTCAGAGCTAAGTGAATAGCATGCCAGGGAATTTTTTCAGTTTTTTGTGTATTGGTTTACACATTTTACTTGATTGATTTTAGTGACTGAGACATTTTGGTTTCCATGATGAAGAACGGGCCACAACTGGGCTTACTAGCTAAATATCAAGTTATAAATTGTCATAAGCTTTCCTAACCCAACACTTTAGTTTGAGCATCAAGTGTCAGAGTTCATCTCAAGTGGGATAAATGCTGTTTTGTCAACTGCCTGAAGTCACACATTGTGTGCCATCTCATGAGCGCATAGTAATACCAAAGTCCTGTATACGTCTCCATTCAAAATGTAGGACTTTTTTTGTATTTTACTTTGTTATTCACTCCCAGCATTATGCAATTTTAATAAACTACCTAATACATAATAATGTAAGGCAAATATTCAGATTGTTGCATAAACCATGACTGGTTCTGAATTAATGATATGCTTCAGTCATTTGCATACAGGCTTTCTATATGTACTTACCTGTACCCATCTGTTTCTTGCAGTGACAATCAAATGCGGCTTAGTGTTGTAGACTAGTTGAGCAGAACACTTGTTTACAGAGAAGATGGCATGGACACTTTGTATATTCCTAATGATTTGGACAGTATGTAGGGGAGAAAATGCTTCAAAGTGTTCTGCAGCTCCCAACAATCGCTTTGACTGTGCACCAGAAAAGGTCCTAAATAAGAAAGAATGTGAAGCTCGTGGGTGCTGTTATATTCCAGTCGATGATAGTTTGGGGAGTGGTCCACCTGCGTGCTTTTTCCCACCAGACTATCCAAACTACAAGATGACGGACTTCACTGAAACAAAATATGGATGCACTGGCACCCTGACGCGCACCAAACATACGTTTATGCCTAATGATCTGATGAAGCTGCACATGGATGTTTTATTTGAGACAGAGTACAGATTACGTATTATCGTAAGTAAATGTCTTTCTTTACTAATACAGTGTTCAGTGCATTCATTTAATAAATAAGGTGACAATTGTAGTGCTTTTATATATCTATGATTGTTTTTAATCCTAGTTAAACTATTTGGCTCCATGCACACGGGGCGTTTTAAGAATGCTGATAATGTTAGCTGTGTAAAGTCACATTAAAAATGTGAGTTTTTTTTTTTGCATTAGCATTTAGCGGCATTTTGCAGCTGTTTTACCATTAAAAAAATATTTTTTTGCTCAAAAAAGTCCAAAAATGCCGGTTTACTACGATTTACTGAGTTTTTTCAGTGTTAGAGAGTTTTTACAGCTAAAAAAACTCCTAGAAAGCCACTGCCAAAAAATGTTGATTACAGTCTGTGTGCATGGACACATAGGATAACATGCTGGGGAGTTTACTGGCTGTAGAAAAAAATGTCAAAAGCCAAAAATCAGCAGCTGTAAAAATGTCCAGTGTGCATGAAGACTTTTTGATCTCTAATCACAAATTTAGCTTAGACATGCTGGGATTGATTTTACAAAAACTGGAGAGTGCAAAATTTGGTGCAGCTCTGCACTGTAGCCAATCAACTTCTAATTAAGCGTTGAAAAAAAAAACTGGAAGCTGATTGGTTTCTATGCAGAGCTGCACCAGATTTTGCACTCTTCAGTTTTTGTAAATCCCAGTGTGTCTAAGTTAAATCTGTCTAAAGCTTAGATCAGAGATCCATTAGAATACAGCAGAACCTGTTGTATAGAGAGAAATCAGGTTACAGGAATAACTGTTGTTCTTTTACATTATACATATCACAGAAATGTTTTAATCCTAATTAGAGGCTTAAATGGAACCTGTGAAAATAAGGTAGCTGCTATTTCTCATGTCTAACTAAAAGTACCATCAAAAAGTAACTTTTTTGGAGCTATACCAAATCCACAAAATTGATCCTTTCTTCACTACTCGGTGAGTCCTGACCTGGAACCCTGATCTGTATACTTGGTGTGCATACACCTGACTTGCACATGCATGTTCTGGCTCAGTGACATACCTATTAATGAAGCGAGGATAAGAATAAGAGTTCAAGATTTTTTTAAATTGTACATTTTTATTAAGGGCCAATGCTCACATTTTTAAAAGAGAACACAGTTTACAACAATAACACTTTATGTGTAAACGTTGCAATGACAGAAATCTAGCATTAGCATAGAAGAGAACAAAATCAAAGAAAACATGAACACAAGTGAACAGCATGTCAATCTGTACAATTCAAGAACATGAATCAGCATAAACCTGCACATCATTAGACTATGTTAGACTGCATTATTTGTCAAAGGCATATTGCTTGAAAAAGTGTCAGGACTATATAAGAGGAGGGGGGAGGGAGGTTTAACAAAGGGAGAGTGATCCCATGGCCCCCAAATAGAGTGGAAATGACCTGAATGTTCACCCACTAGAGCTGTAAGACATTCCATTTCCCTGTTTTCAGAGATCGCTCTTAAAAGATGATTTTGTGAGGGACATCTGCTGATTTCCAAAATTGTGGTATCACTTTCTGGCAGATGTCAGAATGTGCACTCCCAACCTTTTTAGATTGTTTGGGGATACCCCTGAAGGGTACACCCAGAAGATAATGTAACGGGTCTAGGGGCAGGACAACATTAACCACTTCCCGACCGGCCCGTTGTATATAAACGGCCGGACGGTGGCACTGCAGGGTCGGGTGGCCGTCTATAAACGGCCTCCCCGCACCCTGCTTGTGCGCGCTCCCTGGGAGCGCGCAGCACCGCGATCCGGTGCCCGCTGTGTCCTCCGGACACAGTGAAACACCGATCGTCGGACGGGACCTCTGTACGAGGTCCCGATCATGTGATCACTGATTGGCCAATCAGTGATCACATGAAAAGTAGTAAGCAAGATGTCACTTCTGACATCATTGCTTACTACGTGTGAAATCTGTGAATGATCACAGAGGTCACATGGTACAAGGCTATTCACAAAAGCCTTGTACCATGTGACAAGCTGTGACCAATCACAGCTCACTCAGTTCTTCTCAATGAGTGCAAGAATGCACACAGAGAGAAAGAGAAATGATTGCTTTTACATCCTATATGGGTGTAAAAGCAATCAGTGTTAAAAAAAAAAAAAAAAAAAAAAAAAAAAATCTTCATCACCCCTCACAAGTAGTACAGTGTCACCATGGTGACACTGTACTGCTAGGGTGACAGTATGTAAAAAAAAAATAATAATAATAATATAAAAAAATAAAATAAAAATGTAAAGAAAAAATGTTAAAAAATTATAATTTTTGCTTATAAACTAATTTGGATTTTTTTTTTTTACTAAAAAGATAACGGAATACATTTTGGCTAAGATTTATGATGAAATATTATTTATTTGCAAAATTTTATTAAAAAAAAAAAAACACTTTTTTTTCAAAATTTTTGGACATTTCATTTACATAGCAAAAAAAAATACAAATCCCAGTGGTGAATAAATACCACCAAAATAAAGCTTTATCTATCTAAAAAAAATGGTAAAAAATTCATTTGGGTACAGTGTTGCATGACCGCGCAATTGTCATTCAAAGTGTGATAGCGCTAAAAGCTGAAAATTGCCCTGGTCAGGAAGGGGGTAAAAGTGTCCGGTCTGGAAGTGGTTAAGTACTTGTTTCAATACCGTTTGAACAATGGCCCAATAACCTGCAATCTGTGGACAAAACCAAAAAATGTGTGCCAGTGTACCCACTCCTTCCATGCATCTCTAGCACTTATCAGACACATTTGGGTTAATTGCATGGAGCACTACAGGGGTCTTATACCAATGCATCAACACTTTATATAAGTTTTCTTTGTATACAACACATCGAGAGGTCTTGGCAGCAGAATCCCATATCACCTGCCAACACTTCAAAGAAATTGAACATTGGATTTTATCCGTTTTTATCTCCTCATAAAACAGTGGGGCTTCTCAACCATAGGTTCCTTATTGAGAAGCAGCTTATATAGAGAGGTGATAAGATGCTGTTGAGAAGGACCTTTAATAGCTATCCTCCTGAAGTCTGTAGGGCAGTATAACATTAAGGAGGAGTTCAAGGAGTGGAAGAAGTGATGAAACTGCAGATAGGTGTATCTGGCCGATTACACTGTTCAACAGGTAAAAAGTTTTGGGCATAAAATTAGTCTTAATTAATTAATTAATTAATTAATAAATTAGAAGAATAAATTAATTAATCTTACATAATTTTGGGGTGCTGAAAACGAAAAATGACCCTAAAAAATGTTGATTGGCTCTAGTTTCCATGATATATTCACCCATCTAATGACGTAAGCCATTCAAAATTATGATGCAACTTCAGCTGCATATTGCGCAATTGATACTGGTGACCAATAGAAAATTGCATGTATACTGAGATGATGCAATATTAGCCTTTAATTGCATCACTTCACTGCATAAAAGCTGCAGTATCTGTAGCTGATTGTAGTTCGACAGCGTCTTTACATTTCATTTTATGCTTATATAGGCTACTCAGTAATGCCTCGAACTTGTGTGAATAAAGCAGATAATTTCTGCTATATCTGCGGTGAAATAACTTTTATCTCGCAAAAAAGGAGGATAACAGGAATGATTAAGAAAGCCTACAACTTGTATTTTGGCTGCAAGATAGGAGACCAGGACAAGAACTGGGCACCACATATATGCTGCAATTCTTGTGGGACGGCACTGGAGCAATGGTTGAATGGAAAAAAGGCATCTATGCCTTTCGCTGTGCCAATGATTTGGAGAGAGCCAACAGATCATGTTAGTTATTGTTACTTTTGTATGGTGCCTCCAACAAAAGGGCTAAATAAGAAGAAAAAGTTATCTGTGCACTATCCAAATATTCCATCGGCAATACGTCCAGTTCCTCATGGAGAGGGGCTACCAATTGCTAAAGCACCAGAATCCTTCGTGGTTGAGTCAAGTGAGGAAGAACCTGAAGCGTGTAGTCACGTGCAGTTGTAAGAGATAGCCCTTTCCTTGAATACAAGAGAAAAGCCAAGAGAAGCAAAACCGACACAAACTGAAGACAAAACTAGTGAGAATCCTAAGTATTAAAATGATTCAACTTAGCTTATGGCTATAATTTTTCTTGGTAATCCTATGCAATATATTATGCCATTTAGGCTTTGTTATGTAGTCAATATCACTTGCTTTATATTTGTGGAAAGACATCTATCTATATAATTATTGTGCATTATGTAGTCATTATGCCTATAGTAGAAAACTTTCCATTTACAGAAAAACTAGAGTCAATTGACAAATTTCATTGTTATATTTGAACTCAGAATGTGAAATTCATTAAGAAATGGATCCTTTTGTTTCCAAAACTAGCAAAAAAATAAAAATTTGTTGAACAGTGTTACAGGTATTGTGGATTTCCACACCCTAATCTCCTCAAATGATCGACTTCTGCGTGAAACAGGATTGACTAGATGATGGAGTTGGAATATTCCATTAGATGTCCAAGGGTTCAACTGTGGGTAGGACAAACTACCTGGGAGCTCTGGATTATACAATATGATCAACAGTGGAGAACACATGGACAGTAATTGCTGCGATTTCACACAAGCTGACCAAATCTTGAGGGTAAATTTTATAGACTCTATCAATGGAGAAAAGGGAGAGAGGCGGTGTGTAATGATGGGGGGCGTAGTAATGAACATGCGTGAATTGGGTGAATATAACTTAATTCGATCTCCGACCATGTATTTTGAGGTTTCTGGGTGAACCATGATAGCGATTGTCTCAGATGAGTAGCTAACTAATATTTAATAATGTCTGGTACTCCTAGGCCTCCATTAGTTCTAGATGACAAAAGAACTGTCTGTGCTATCCTGGGTTTTCTGGCATGCCATATAAATCTAATAAATGCTCGCTGTAAAGTTTGCAGTTGGGCACGAGGGATTAGTAGAGTCTCAAAAAGGTAAAGTAACTTTGGCAAAATTGACACCTTTAAGACATTTAC